AGAACAGTTCTCCTGTAGAACAGAACAGTTCTCCTGTAGTACAGAACAGTTCTCCTGTGGTACAGAACAGAACAGTTCTCCTGTAGAACAGAACAGTTCTCCTGTAGTACAGAACAGTTCTCCTGTAGTACAGAACAGTTCTCCTGTAGAACAGAACAGTTCCCCTGTAGTACAGAACAGTTCTCCTGTGGTACAGAACAGAACAGTTCTCCTGTAGAACAGAACAGTTCTCCTGTGGAAACGAACAGTTCTCCTGTAGAACAGAACAGTTCTCCTGTGGTACAGAACAGAACAGTTCTCCTGTGGAACAGAACAGTTCTCCTGTGGAACAGAACAGTTCTCCTGTGGAACAGAACAGTTCTCCTGTAGAACAGAAGAGAACAGTTCTCCTGTGGCACAGAAGAGAACAGTTCTCCTGTGGTACAGAAGAGAACAGTTCTCCTGTGGAACAGAACAGTTCTCCTGTGGAACAGAACAGTTCTCCTGTGGTACAGAACAGAACAGTTCTCCTGTGGAACAGAACAGTTCTCCTGTGGAACAGAACAGTTCTCCTGTGGAACAGAACAGAACAGTTCTCCTGTAGAACAGAACAGAACAGTTCTCCTGTAGAACAGAACAGAACAGTTCTCCTGTAGAACAGAACAGTTCTCCTGTGAAACAGAACAGAACAGTTCTCCTGTAGAACAGAACAGAACAGTTCTCCTGTAGAACAGAACAGAACAGTTCTCCTGTAGAGCAGAACAGAACAGTTCTCCTGTGGAACAGAACAATTCTCCTGTGGAACAGAACAGTTCTCCTGTGGAACAGAACAGAACAGTTCTCCTGTGGAACAGAACAGTTCTCCTGTGGAACAGAACAGAACAGTTCTCCTGTGGAACAGAACAGTTCTCCTGCAGAACAGAACAGTTCTCCTGTAGAACAGAACAGTTCTCCTGTGGAACAGAACAGTTCTCCTTTGGAACAGAACAGAACAGTTCTCCTGTGGAACAGAACAGAACACCACCTCAGTGTTCTCCAGAAGCAGTTCTGGTTCTCCACCCGACCACTCAGGATCTTAATAAATCAGCGGGGTGGTTCCGCTTCGCCTGCCACTGCGGTACCATTTGAAGTGGGCCGGGCCGTGGTTCTGCCAGCGTTCTGCTCCTGTGGTAAATGACTCAAGCGGCTGAAACCCGGCGCCAGCAGGCAGAACTTCAAAGTTCTCTGTGTGGTGTGCAGTAGCTCAGGGTGGAACACGGTGAACCCAAACAGCTCTGAAAAACAAAACAGAACTCCAGCCAGCGGTTCTGCAGCCACGCTCCTCTGCTGCGGTTTGTTTGGGTCTGCGGGGAGGGGGGTGTCTCCAGAACCCACGTGTTCTGTGGTTCTGATGCTGCTGCACGTGTTGAGCTGTTTGTTTGGACTCTGACAGCTTGAGATGACTGGATGCTGCCCTCTAGTGGAGGAAAGTGAACATGTGTGGCTGTGTGCAGGTGATGGACAGCTCCATGCCTCTGATTGGAGAACACGTGGAGGAGGACAAACAGCTGATCACAGAGCTGGTCACCAGTAAGATGGCCCAGGTGCTGCTGGGAGTTTCCACACCTCAGCCTTCCTCAGTGAAGGTAGAGTCCTTSTTTTACCTCTGTGGTACCTTTAACCTCAGTATTACAGCTTTTAACTGTGTCTCTGTTTGTCTGCCCCCCTCAGACCACCCAGCCCAGACGAGGTGCGCTTGTTTTATATTCTGACCTCCTGACATGACGTCTGCTGTAAACTGATCCACTGTCTGTTTACGTCCTGCAGGAGGACATCGCTCTGCCTCTGCCTCTCCCTCCCAGTCGGCCCAGGGCTCTCCTCAGAGGGCCCGCTCAGCCACCACCTCCCCCAGCCAGGCCTTCCAGCCCGGTCCCATCCCTGCCTCCTCTGGACCCGGGGCTCAGAAACAGTCACCGCAACTAAAGTCAGTCCAGATTTAAAGACCTGCTCACATTACCCTTTAAATAACTTTAAGAAAATGTTATTTTTAATTGAGGTATTTTTTTTATTATTGGCAGAAATTAGTGTAAAAAAATACTGAGACGGGCAAAAAAAACACAGCCTGCTTCTCTGATGCTATGGGGGTGCATTAGTGTCATAAACCTGGAACAACTTGTGATTTAAATGAAATTTGGATTTATGGGATTTTCAAACTCAGTTTTAATTTACAATTTTATGGAGCTAAACTGAAGCCATAAAGTTCTTTTTTTTTTCTTTTTTGAAACTGAAAAGAATTTTTTTTTTTTTGCCAGATTAAAAAAAGAAGAAAAAATATGTGTGTATGTATG